TTTACGTTCGCTGCAACACTATCTTTATGGGAAAACATATGCAAAGTGGAAGGTGTTAAAGAAGACATCAACATGTTTTTTGCTTCAAAGCCAAGTGATTTCTTTAATCAGGGCATTAACAACTTGATTGTAAGATGGAAAAGCATCATCGATAAGAATGGGGACTATTTCATTTAATGATGACAAAACCTTGTCGAAACGTTGTACATTTGCTGTTATGTTAAACTTATATTAAAGTTTTTCTTCATTACCCATTCAAGCTGTCTCCAGCCGTCATTTAATATATGTTTTGTTTTGATATATAGGTTGTTAGGGTTTTTTCATCTAAAAAAAAGCGACAATAATTTTCTTGACGACCAAATAGTATTTACAAGGATACAATTTGTGACTTGCTAATGTTTACGTTTCGTATAGACTACAACTTATCGCCTGTTGGTGTTAGTTCTGCATACTGTGTAGGAAGAAAAATTGTGACCTATTAGTGTTTACATGTTGTGCTGAATACAACTTGTGCCTTGCGAGTGTTTACTGTTTACGTATTGTGTAGAGCACATCTTGTGAGTTGTAATCTGTATATAAAACACACTAACACGATGAAAAATTCATATTATATTATATATATGATTAAAACGCGTTATTTTACTGAATAACAAAAAGAAAAATAGAACAAGCGTGCGCTTACAATAACACGTTTACGCTTAGACAAAATATCATATGTTGATTTTCACTGTTTTGTATTAATATATATCGTACAGTCACTTACCATGTCTGGCCACTCCCACAGAGTAGACGAAAGCAATGACCAATAATAATAAAGCTTTTCCCATCATGGCTGCCACTGTTATGAAAATCTAGTTTCATGGGGTCGACAACAATAATTTGGTGAATTGGTATATATGTTTCAAATGTCGGTAGATTAATAAGATAGATACTAATGAGTTTTACTGAAATCAATGAACAAAAGACGAGATCGCTATCAACCTTTGCACTCACTGGTACAGAAGGTTATGGTTCAAGGTACACTGTTAATCTGAAATCTGCTTCCTGGAAACGACGACAGATCTGCACTTATATATATATATATATATATATATATATATATATATGTATACGTCTACGTGTATTACTATAGTACCTAATTATTCGTACCAACGAACCAACCCTAACCTTAACTACTACACTACAACCGGACGGACG